CGTGCAAGACGCCAAACGAGTTGGCGTTGTCGAGGTCGATCATGCACTTGAGAAAGGCCGTGAGCGCCGAGTCGGCCATCTCGGTCGGTGTGATGCGTCGCATGCGCTGGCCCGCGCCAGCATTCGCAGGGCATTTGGTCGAGAGGTTCACGGCCTAGATGGAGCTTCGCGTTGGATCCAGAGGTCTCAAAACGTGTAGCAGGAAGGTGGTGTACCTTGCGGTCCTCTTCCGTCGGCGTGTCGCTGAAGCGCGCAAAGCCTGGCAACTCACCATCGCAGATCTTCCAACTCAAGAGGAACGCGTCGCCGACGTTCTTGTTGGCCATGCCGTAGTAGTGGTGCGTCCCGCTGTGCATGATGTGACCGAGCTTGTTGACGTAGACCATGACCTCTTCTTGGAGGCACTCGGTCGTGTCTGTAAACTGGCGAATGTCGCAGAAGCCGTAAATGGACGTGATCTTCTTCCCCGGCAACATGGGGTCGAGGTCGCCGGCGCCCATGTTCTTGCCAATGATGTCGCCGCCAGCAGCGCCAAACCCGACTTGCATTAAGCCCGAAATCTTCTCGAGGGTTGCCTCCAGCACCGCGGTCTCGACGCCCTTCTCCTTGGCGAGTCGCTGGTCCTCATGTTCGACGTGCGTGTGTTTTCCAAGCGGGTTCTCGGACAGCTCCTTGACGGTCGCCATCTACATGGCCCGATGACGACGGCGATTGGGATGAAGAGAGTGTACCATGCGCTCGATCGGATCCAGCACCGTGACGCGGGCCACGTGCACAAACGAGATGGACGAGACGACGAGGATGCCGAGGATGAAGATCGTGCGGTAGATGCCCGAGATGGCCGTGGCTCTGGCCATTTCAGAAATATCAAACCAGACCACCGACTGACACGACATCGACGTGAGCACGGGGTCGGCTACAATGTCCGAGCCATTCCACGCCGCAAAGCAGCCAGTGGATGTGATGGATCGGAGCTCGCTGATGCGGTATGTGTCGAGGACGGCGGCTTGGGACGGCAAGACCTTGGCCATCTGGGCTGTCGAGATGTCCGTTCTTGGAAACGAAAACGACGTGAAGAGCCGCCCGAACTTGTCGCCAGTGATGTTGTGGAGCGAGAGGTACACAATGTCGTTGGTTGTGTAGTAAAACCAGCTCTACACACATTCAATCTGAGACGGTAGCGCACAGAAATCTGTACCCCAAAGGTGTTGAGAAAGATCGGGCTCATGGACACATCTGTTGGCGTCGTCGTCATTTGGTGGATCAAGTCAAAGCCGCGCGACTCGAAGAGGTTGAACGACTCGTTGTAGCCGCCATCAAAGGCCGGGAGCACAAAGCAGAGGAAGAGCACGATCAGAGCGACGCGGCGGATGGTCATTTCGGCCATGCGGCCGCCGGTTTTGCTTTCGACAATGACCAAGTCCGATTCCGCCTTGCTGTGCTTCCACTTGATGAGCTTGACGACACGAATGAGCCGGATGACGCGGACGACGCGGACGATGCGCCCGGCCGTCGAGCCGGCTTTCGAGACGCTCGAGACTGTATCGGCGTTGGTTAGCGGGCTCCAGATGAACCCAATGTCGGGCAGAAGCGAGAAGGTGGCGAGGACGTCGAGGTAAAAGTAGAACGAGAGGAGGTAGCCCGGTTTGCACAGACACGAGATGCCAAATTCGACGAGGAAGAGGACGAGGCAGAGGAACGCGACGACGTAGAAGCCCATGTCGGCGCTCTTGCTGAAAAAAGCCGCGCGAAAGTCGTCGGCGAAGAGGCAGTAGAGCGTGATGAAGCTCATCAAACCCGCGTACGACTTGCGCTCGAGGATGGCCATGCCCCAGCGCTGCGTTGGCGTGCGCATGCTGCCGGCCCTGTGGAAGGGCGGTGGTCGGAGCGTGGCCATGGTCGTGAAATTGTTGATCGAATTGTCCCGGTGTAGGGCACGGCTCGTGTTGAATTTGTTGCTCGAGTTGTCCCGGTGCAGCGCACGGTGCGTGGTGGTCGACTGCAGCTCGGGCGAGATCTTGCGCGTGTTCTTCATCGTCGCAGTGTGCATCACGAGGCCCGCCGCCGGGGCTGGTTTCATCGAGAGGCCAGAGGGAGCAGCGGGGGTGCGCGCCAAACGGACCGTTGGGGACTGCGCGCTATTTTAGACAGGCAGCACGAAACCAACGCGTCCATGAAACGCCAACTTCAACTCGAGACGCGCGACGGAGGCGTGTCGGGTCGATTCATTGCTTTTTGCTTTAAGTGCAGTCCAGGAAGGATTTCCAGTCATGCCCCGAACCAAGGACAGAAATACTGAGCCCGACCGCACGAGTGGCATCATGCACAGGCTGGGAATTTTCGAAATCGACTTGTTTCGTTTGGATGTACACGTCGTATGACGGGTCATGCGGCGCGGACGAGCCGCGAGTGTTGGGTTCGAGGCTAGACGACACCGCTTGTAGAATACCAGCCCAAAGCTCGAGCGGCCCAGATGCGGAAGGTGACGCGCTAACGTCACTGCTAAAGAATGATTGACGTCGGTGGGAATTATTGCACCGAATATGCACTGCAACTTTGCCTATTTGCTCGACAAGTTGGGCGTCGTTGGCGTTGCCTCGTCGCAAGCTTCGATGCCATTAGCCAACTAGAATCACACAACTTAAATTGGCGAATCACATTGCAGATCCGGCGATCTTGCATTAGCGAATCACATTGCAGGTGTAGCGATCTAGACGTCACACCGCGGTGGCATGAGCGCTCGAGAGGCGTCATCAAGAGGCCAGAGGACGCCAGATCAACTTGGATATCGTCTAGCGTTACGCCGCGTCGTCCAAGCCGGCCATGGTAGCCGCATGAACCCCACCAGGTTCTACCTCAGTCAAACCATGGCTACAGCCCAAGAGTCGTGACATCAAAGTACTACAGGATCACACGACCTCTATTTCACTTCACATGGACTCTACTTCTATTCACATTATATTGCACGCTACGCCTTGTTCTCGACGTAGTGGTCGAGCGGCTCGTCCATCTGGCTCACAAACGACTTGCGCACGTCGTCGTCTTCCATCGCGAGCTTGGCCTTGAAGTCGTTGTCCATGACGCTCGCCTCGTCGTTGTTGTCAAACATGCAAAAGACCGTGAGGACGATCGTGAGCACCGAGATGCCGGCAAACGTAAACCACGTGCCGACGTAGCCAAAGCTCGGGTTGTCGACCCAGAGCGAG